ATATTGAATAATAATCAAATGTTTGCAGCAGAGTTTGGTACAAGTGATCGTCGGAAAGAGTTAATGATTTGCGTCCTTATAATCACATTTATATTAAATCTGTTTTACAATAGACAAACTAAAGTAATTACATATTAGAATATGACAGATGCATTTGAGATAAAAGACAAAATTGAACAAGGTGAAGTATTATTACTTTTAGTCTGAAGGATCTTTTATGACCTATTGTTAGCAAGAATCCAAAAGAATAGAACTTAGATTATATAGTATCAATATTAGTTCTATTCAACTACAATCTAGACCTTTCAAAAACAAGAAAATAAAGATAAGTAGTAGTAGCCTTCATAAATAACACAATATAGATTGCAAATAGCAAGATACAAATACAACAAATAATACAAATTACAGAAAAAATTTTTCAAATAAACAATATTCAGATTAATAGAAAAAAATCTAAGTTGATCATTATAAATTTAGATGAAAAAGAAGAAAACAAGACAATAAAGTTAGAAGGTAAATAGATACAAGAAGAAAATACAAATAAAATAACAAAATTTTTAGGCATTTGGCTGAACTACAAGTTGAAAAAATTATTAGTTAAATTAAAAGTTCAAGAAATAGAACAAGCAACAGTTAGAAGTCTCAACATAATAAAAATATTAATAGTATAAGTATCTTATATAAACAATACATACATAGTTCCAAAGCTAACATATATGTTGCAAGTAACAAAATTATCAAAATCAACAATTGATAAAATTCAAAGTTCATTATTAAGTATAGTAAAAAATAAACTAGAAATAGTAAAAACAACAGAAAATAATATAGTACTATATAAAAACTTGAACAATTGTAATTTACTTTGAAACCAATTTACAGCTAAGCAAATTACAAGTTTGCATTCATAACTAAATAGAAAAAGTATAGAAGAAAGACTTACAAATCTGCAAATAAGCCAAGAACTCTTACTAATTAGTGCAACAAAAAACAATTAACATTTTAACTGTCCCAAAACCTGTCACAAAATTTAAAAAAACAATTTAATATACTATATCATTCTTAAAATAAAAAATTTATAAATTATACTAAGTTTTAATAATTTAAATATATGTTTAAGTAGAAGAAAAATTAAAATTACAAATCTTTTAGAACAGACTTTACAAGAAAAGTAGCATTAGTACTAAAAAGTCTAAAGTTAGTATATATAAAACAGCTTATTAACATAACAGATAGTCATATAATTATATAACAACAGCTCAAAATTTTACAAAAACAAATATAAGAGCAAAAAGTTTTCAAACTAGAAACAATGTTAATTGTAGATAAGCAAAATAGAAGTTTAAAAGAAGGTTGGCAAAATATAAATCTAATAAATATATATATATATTTTTTTTTGCTTTCATTAAGGCCATTAGTTATTGGCAACTATTGCTTTTATTATAATTTAATTATAATTATATAATTTGTATAAGGTGATTCTTATATTATACTTAACAAATAATGTACAAGTTTTTATATACTAAAGTGTTGTCTAATCTAATCTTGACCTTCCTGTCTGTATATCTGTTAAGCTATTATATATTTTAGAATATGTTATCTAATTATAAGGCTTCAGAGGCTCTTTTGCTAACTAACTATTCATATTTAGTTTTTTGTTAATAGGACTTACTTTTGTAAAGTTTATTCAGACCTTAGTACTAACTTTATAGCATATCTTTAGTACTTATAGTTATACTTTATTTTTATTTTTAGAATCTTAATCCAGATAGCTCAGAAGAACTGTGATCTGTTCTTGATATCTTGGGATTTTGTCTCTTAAGATTTTTTTTCTCTAATTTGAAACTTCTAATGGCCTGGTTGATAATACACTTTATTCAAGATTCTTATCATCTAATTTCTTTTATATTGATATTTATTTCTTAGATTAAGCCTTTACAATAGTACTGTAATAAAATTTATTAAAAACTAACAAGCTGTAATAATTTTAATAGCACAAGTGCTAAGTAAAAGATCTTTTATTTAAAGAAAAATAAATTAAGTAAAAATAAGCAAAAATAAAAAATAAATATATAAAAGTAGAATTTAAATTTAATAACCTTTTAGGCATTATAAGGTACAACAATAAGATCAGCTTTTAAACTAAATTATACTGTTTAGTCTATGTGAATTAAGCATAACAAAATGTTTACTCTGTACAAAAATTATTAGACTTTAAAACTTAAAAATGTCTATAAAGTATGACTAAAAGAAGAAAAGTCTTAATAACTAAACTAGAAGCCTGTAAATTGCCTATTTTTAAGGCCTGGCCCAACCTGCATTTAGGATTAAATTTTTTTTTCTAGCTTAGCCTGGTCTATATTTAGAGGTAAAATTTTTTTGTCAGCCCAGTCTGGCCCAGTTTGCAAAATGTTTTTATATAATTTTACAAAATTTTAGGTCTAACCTGACTTGTAATTATAAAATTTTGCAAATTTTTTAGCCTAACTTGGCCTGTGATTATAAAATTTTGTTTTAGGCTTAGTTTAGTCAATAAAAATTTGTGAACTGGGCTGGGCTGTAAAACCTAATGCAGGCCTCTAAACCAGACTATTATTAGCTATATGTAGTTTTTAAATTTTAATAATAGAAAGCTAGTATTTGCCAAATAACTAATTAAAAAAACCAACTTTTTACTTTATATTATTATAAAAAAAATAAATAAATAAAAGAAATAAAGATAAAATATAAAAAAAATAAGAGAGTGTGACAATCTAGTGAAGTGGTTAGGCTGTTAACCTTCCAAGTAGTAGTTTGGGTGTTCAAATCCCATCGATAGCAAAAATTTGGATAATCACCTATGTAATATTTATATTATAGCAACTATTACTAATGATTGGGTTAGAATACCTATAATGGTGATCACACCAGCATGACTGGTAGGTTATGGGGCATTCGTATAACAGGTCATATAACATTTTCTTTTGGGACAAGGTTGTGGTTACATGAAGGAATGCAAACTGGCAATTAGGTAGTACAAACATTAGATAAGTCCTTGTGATCATGTAAATTCATTTAAATTAGGTAACAAGAAGTCTATTTGAGAAAACCTAATTAGAGAGATAGCCAGATCTTTGATGGCCTTACTGTAAAGACTAGCTTTATAAAACAGATACTAAGGTCAAAGTAGCTGGATAGGCAAAAACCTCTAGGTGGAAGGTAGGATTGTGGCCCAAACCTCTTTTTTAAAAATAACATTACTATATATTTTGGATTTGGGAATTAGGATTTCTACTTAATTTGGGTCTATAACTAAAACCCAAACACATGTCCCATTTATTCAACAATGTCAAACTCAAAAACTAATTAAATTCATTAAATTAATATTAAAATAGTACAATTCAACTTTAACAGGATTATACAGCCAAATAAAATTTTATTAAAAAATTGAATTTATTTGTGTATTATGAGGCTGTATTGTAATACAATTAAGAGAAAAAAAATCCAAACTTAAAAATTAAATTTCTCTTAAATCCATTATTTAAATCTGCTAGCTAATTTTAATTTATTCTAAACATGTTTATAACCCAGAATTGTTATGACCTTAATAAATTTTCTTGCCTTCATTAATAATATTAATTCGATTTGTCTTGATATAAAACCTATTAATTAATATGTATAATATGTATCTATTTTCTTTCCTAGCCATAGAAATAAACAATTATTAAATAATTAACTACAATTTAGCTAGTATAATGTATTCATGCAATTAATATTTTTCTCAGATGTTTTTTAATTTGATGCTCTGATAAGACTAGATTTGATCAAGGTCAGTATTTGAATTATTCACCATATTTGGTAAACAATCATACTTGATTTTGTAACTTTAATTTTCATCAATGTTATATCGATAGCTGATTTTTCAAGCTCATTCATATGATTATTGAAATTATTCTATTATTGATTCTGAACTATACTACTGTGTTTAATTATTACAAGAATACTTCAGGCTAATTTAATCAAGGATACACAAAACTGATGCTAATTGCATCTCAAAATTTGTGACAGATCTAAACCACATTGATGTAATATTTAAAAAAAAACTAACAATGTTAGATAAAATTTGTGATCAAACTTCTATAATCCTCTTTTTGTTTACAAAAAATAAAAAAAAATAAAGTAATAATAAAACTATTAACATCAAACTATATAAATCTTTAAAGATTTCTTACCTTAATGTAAATGGCTTTAGTTTTCACACTAGATTATCTTTGATCTAAAATTCACACACAAAAAAAAAAAACTACATACGTTCACTAAACAAAAACCTATATGAATACTGTAAAGCAAAACAGCAAAGGCTGTTAATGTTACATATATATTAAAACTGACGAGGGATTATATCCATCACAATTGAACCCAATATAAATAATTTAATTTGTAATTGATTACAGTCGAGAAAGATTTACTTTGGATCAGGCACTGTCTCTGTTATAGTAAAGTAATATTAGTATCTTACGATAATGTGTTATGCATGTTGCATACACATATCTTGATATGTATTAAGAACCTTAATTGTTCAAATGTAAAAAAAATAACTTGCCAAATATATAAACATAACCTTAGTATTCTCATTTCATGTAATCTACAATTTGCAAAACAAAAAAAAATAAATAAATAAATAACATTATTATGAAAGAAACAACTATGCATATAAATGAATCTTCTAGTTTTCAACTATCTGAAATTATCTTTATTTCTACAAAATGTAAGATCAAAAAAAACAAAGGAGGTAGACCAAGAATGCCTATCTGGAATGATTATGATGAAGGTGAAGAAGATGGGCATGGGCATTTTGGAGCAAGTTGCTGTTATTGTGATAAAGGCAAATAGCAATATGGAAAACTTTCTACTATAAAAGCTTATTTAGCACTTTATTGTAAAGGTCCAGTACCTGATGATATTAGAAGAAAATAGTTAATTGAAGTTGCTAAAAGAGGTGAAAAAGTAAATGATAAGGATAAAAAAATTTATAATGAAAAAAAAATCAAAAGGTCTGGTCAATCGATCACTTTACACTTTCAATCCATTAATAAATTATCCTCTTAACAATTCATGGACATTACAAAAGCACTGCTTAAAGCTTTTGTATATTGTGGAATTTCCTTTGCTATTATCAATAATCTGTATTTTTGAGATTTTTTAAACCTTTTACAACTTAGTTATACACCACCACATAAGGATGCACTTTCAGGCTCAATACTTGATGAAGAAATTGCACAAATTGTTGTTAAATTGGAAGCAGACCTACAAAAAAAAGAAAATTTAACTTTATGTAAGTAAATATAATTAAATTAATTTGGTTTTTTCCTCCTTCCACTATTCTGAAGGTCCTTAATACCTTTATCATAAGTTGACTCATGCTTCATTAAGTCCATTATAAAAAGTTCCAATCTATAGTTAAATTAAACTTTAATTAGTGTAGTAATAAATATTTATTTTATTTATAGCACTAGATGACTGGACCTTACCAAGGGGTGATTCACTTTATAACTATATAATTGCAACTCCAAGCTGTTAAGAATATCTTTATGCTCTAGCTGATTATTTAGGAGAGCATCAAACAGAAAATTTTATTGCCAATAAAATTTCAGATATTATTGAAAAAATAGGTTCTCACTGTTTTGCAGCAATTGTAACTAATAATGGATCTAATGTACACGTTGCATAACAAACTATTCATTACAATTATTCTCATATTTTAAACATCTGTTGTATTGCTCATGCGTTGAACCTGTTAGCAGTGGATCTTGTAAAAACAAAATTAGCTAAAAATGTTTTAAAAAAAGCTAATATGCTAGTTTTATTTTTTAAAAAATCACATTTAGCAAACTGTCTTCTATGGGATACTGTTTTATCTATGAATATTAAAGGTGATTTATTAGAGACATATAGTGAAACATGCTGGGTATTTATTTATGATACAATGAATTCTATTATTTATGTTAAGCCTGCAATTGATAAGGTTTATAAATTAAATTTTGTTATTTAACAATGCCAGATAAACTCTATTCTTTGATTTTCAGTCTTAAAATAAAGTATAAGTATTGTCAAATAAAAACCTGACTTAAAGTCAGGTTTTCGTTTGGCAGCACTCATATATATTTTTTTTTTTAAATTTTTGGCAGCCTTGCCGATCATCTTTATTAAGAGTCTTATATACATAATTTGTACAAAGTTGGCTTAAATTCTAGCTCGACATTCCCCGGCTGCTTCTATAAGTGCCCAGGAGCAGTCTGCCGCACTGGCCAGACAGTGGTCTGGCCAGAGGGCTATACCAAGCTAGCTATTAAAACCATAAAAAAATAGTCTTATTTTCCTTTCTATATAATTTCTAATCGAACCGAACCAAGAACTTTGTATTTTTTCTTCTTCTTCTTTTTTCTTTTCTTTTATAGCTCGGCCTTGGTCCTTCTCTAAACCTCTACTATCCACCCCCTTTATCACATTTTTAACTGTATTACTTCTTGGATTATTATCTTTCTTTTTCTTGTCTGCAGAGCTAATTTCATTTGTCTTTTCTCATTTAGTAACTGCTTCACAGTATTTTTTCTATATGTTTTTAAAAAAGCCATTTCATGCTGTATTTGTCCATATTGTTATAAACTTTTTAGCTTCTTTAAAAGTTTGGGTAAGACTTTGTATTGTTATTTTGGTTTCTTCTTGAACTAGCCCTTTCATGCTTTTGGATCTACATTCTTTTTTCCCTTCTGCTAAATTACCCCATAAGATTTTCGTTAGTTCTAACTTGCTTGTTTTCTTCTGAGTTTCTTCTGAGAGAACTGTCTAAGCCAAATTAATAGCTAAGTTTTCTGTAATGGTCCAACCATTTTCATGGCCTTTACATATAGCTAAGTGTTCTTGGTCTTCTTCTTGGTCTTCGTTACAGAGAATGCAATATGGCATTTTGTATATATCAGGACGTCTTTTCACTAGAGTTTTTAGTACTGGTAATTTTTCATTAACACATTTAATTAGAGTCGCAATTTCTCTATTCTTTTTCATACTCTTACATCTAACTACACTATGACTTCTAACTTTTTTCTATAGTAGTGACCAGTCATATTCTTCTTTTTTTTCATTTGGTTCTAATTTTTGGACAGTTGATGTAAAACACCATTCTGAGCCAACTTTAAAATCTAAAATATCTTTAACAAATTGTCTTGTTGGCCTTCTACAATTGTTTCATTCCAGCAAAGTGATACGTTTGAACTAGGTGGTAGCATTACTATAATCTTTTCTCTATTTTCTATACTACTTCCTTCTTTTGCTATTTTATCTGCTCTAATATTCTATTTGTTATCACTGTGTCCCTTCACTTTAACTAATTCTAATTCTATCTTCTTTACTTTGAGTAGTTCTATTATACTTTTTTTTAAATTATAGTTCTTTTCTTTAATCCATTGTCTGCTTCTTTTTAGTTTTTTTTCTCTTTTAAGACCTGATATTGCTGCAGCACTATCTGTATAGATCTTAATTCTTCTTTTCTTTAGTGTTATTAGAGTTACTAATCAAATTGTAAGTAGTTCTGATTTTGTTGATGAGGGCCAATTTCGGGCGCCTATAGCACCTTCATCAATTACTTTTTCTTCTTCTGTGTCTACTTGTATCCAGCTTGCTCCCATGTGGTCGATATCTGAAGCATTGTTTGTTGCTGCTTTCTTGAGCAAACCATCAGTGTAGAAGATAAGTTTATTATCTGTATTTAATTGGTTTTTTTGATTTTTGGAAATAAGAAGTTCTTTTATTTCTTTGCTTAGTCATTGTTTTTTGATCAATTCTATGTCCAAATCATGGCATATTATATCTTGAAGCTGTGCTTCTGGTTTATCTATTTTGG